AGAACATTTACGATGAAATGAGATGAAATTTATGAAGAAAAAAAAAGATGGGGGTGTGATGGCAAAGGCAAAGGCAGATCTTCGCCCATGGGAATAGAGAAAGTGAAGTCCTAAAGCATTTGCTTTTGCTTCTTCTCTCTCTCTCTCTCTCTCTCTCTCTCTCTCTCTCTCTCTCTGGAATCTGGAATTGGATTTTTGTAAATATATTTTGGATTTTGGGGAAATTGGCACCCTGGTTACTTGAACGTAGCGTTAGCATCCCCATCTCATCATCCCCTACTCGGGTCTTTGGGTTCATGGATTCTCCATCTCTTCAAATTCCAACTGTTCTTTTTCACTTTCCTAACGAAACACGTACATGAACTATGGTGTTACATAATACACTTATACATGAAAAATGCTAGAGAGATTAAATTTTTAAACGATGTGTCATCAATAAGAAATAAGCATGTTAATCAGTACTTAAGTAATAATTCAATCACTAACATCTACATCATTTGGTTTAAAAATTCGGTCTCCCTAGCATTACCCTTTATACATATATGCTTTGCAAGTGCAGCCGCCAAGTGGCAATCATCTATACGTACATATAATTATATATTTTTTATTTATTATATGTCACAATATGTTGTGAAGAAGTGCCATGCCAATGCAGGTTGCTACATTTTTGTTATTATATCAAGTAGTGAAAAAATGAGGGGACACGAGGACGAGTTGTAGGACTGATGATTTGCTGTGGCGACTAAGAAATTAACTGATCGAGCACGATCAAATTGAAAGATGCTTAATAATTGCTTATTATTAATATACAAGATTAGTGGTACGTGATGACCATGCAGATTCAACTCTGGGTCTCAAAGTCTTGATGCCAAGAATTGAAATATATCTCTCTCTAAGTCAAAATTAGCATCATCATATGATTAACTAACTTAAAAACAAGGCTGACTAAACTTTATTCATTGAAATTTTCTATTTAAATATCTTTTCTAGAAAAATTATTCCAATTTGAAGACCATGTTCATTCATATAAATCAAAGAAATTGACCGTCAACACTTGTTATCATAATCGTTTTGTTAGACATATATAAATGTCTAAAAGGTCTCGAACTTCAAGATATATTTGAATAATGATAAAGAGAATGAATGATTCGATTATTCTTATTGTAGGTAGAAATAATGCAGCATTAACTTTTAGGGAATGATTAGACTTTCCACCTTTTCGGAAATAAGGGAAGTATTGTTCTTCAAGGAGTCAGATACAGAACTTCAGGGCTCCAAGGGTTGAAATGTATCAGTAAATTATTAAACAATTTGATTAAAATGTTGACGAATGAATTCAATTTTGGTTATTTTAGGGTAATTTCCTTACAGTGGGTGAGGTGGTGGGGAGTTGCTGGTAATAATTAGAAGAGTAATGTGGGTGGCGTGTGGAGGAAGCAGGAGAGAAATCGTTTACCACTTTTGGACCATCCTCAGTTTCTAGCTTCTAGGTTTTACAAATCACTAATCATGTTCGTAATTCATAACTCCAAGTACAATATTTTTAAATCATGACCGCATTTACTATTATCAACGACATATTTGAACTCAGTATCTCCGTCAACAAAATAAAAATATAGGCATATTTGGATGAAAATTGATGATGTGCAGTATAAGCAATGTTTTAAAATCAACAACTATCGTCCCTTAGATTTGAGCTCAGGATTTTCTCAAACATAGTACAAACTGAGTAGTGTAAATCAAACGAGGATGTTCAAATACGAACCATATGTTGAATAATTATGCAAGTTGTTGTGTTATCCTTTTCTTTATATTTTAATATGCACCTTTCTTCTTCACCAACAAAAATGGATCTCAGTAGTAGTTGTATTGCTCAATTCAAAAACTGTGCTTCCTTAATTTCTTTGCTGCTTTCTGCATAATTTTTAGGGAACTTTAACGAAAAGCTCCCGGTACTGTTCACTTTAACGAAAAACCACATTTTTACACTAAAAAGTCAATCATGGTACTATTCACTTTATCCTTTATTTTGTCCTTATCATTAAAACTCAAAGTTTCCAAACTCTTTTCATTAGTTTTCCTTAATTTTTATGGCATCTTAAGTTGCAGATGAAGTTCACTAGTCAAATCAAGTCTGCAAAACTCTACCCTATAAATATACACAGTAATTTAACATTCTCAAGTTAAATAAAGTTGTCAATCGTGGGAAAAAAGGAATCAAGTTCCACCTTCCATTTACAAATACGTACGTTGAACTTTATAAGACGTTCTATATCGTAAATACATTGTTCTTACTGTTGCTCTATCCCTACTTGTGTGGTTTAACTTCTATCCAACATGCATGCTTTCTTTTTCTTCTAATCAAACTGTGAAATATATTGAACAAACCCGCGTGGAAGTGGGGAAAAGGGCGCCAGACTGACAGGCTGAGCCCTGCGCCCTGAGGGAGGGCCAGCTCCTCTCAACAAGATTACGATCGTTGAATGGTCCACAGTCTCCTCCTCCTCGGTCTTCACTAGACTAGGTTCCACTGCTTTTATTTTTTGGCTATTCGGGTGGTGAAAGAGTAAAAGACAAAGTCACAAAAGCTAATGAGTGATTGTCGATCCCGAGGTGAAAATTCCACAATAATTGTTTGTTAGCACCACTGTCCTCTCCTTTCTTCTACAAAAGTCATGCTCTGTGACCTAAGAGTTGAAGTTCGCAGGACCACTTACTTGTAATAACAGTAGTTAGGGTTTTCAAGATTCATATTCCTCTCTATCCATCCCCATATACTTGCATACATTTAAACATAGAGCAATGACAATCTAATTACCTATTCATTAATTGGACACTTCGTCGATTCAAATTGTCGAAGGGTATCCCTAGCGTCAATTTGAGCAGTACAATGTTAGCTCAAATATTGATATATAATTGCAAGATAGATCTCATTCGGGTCAATCATAACCTAAATTCTCAATGAAACATAAATCTTACAATAATCAATGAATGATGAGATATTGTTGTGTCTAAAAAGCGACTGACGCTAGCACAACTCTTTATCTCGAATCAATCTCTCTGTCTTCACAATACTTTTGTGGTAATATTGTAAATTTTTTGTGCTTCAAGTCCATAGCTACTACTAGAAGGATCCGCATAATTTATAGTAGTGAAATCCGCCCAGACTGTAATTCTTGGCATCCCTTCTCATATTCATAGACTTTATCGCCTCATCAACATAAGCTGTATAAAAACAAATAATTGACATCACAAAATCCGCCCAGATTGTTTTATTGCATGAACTAAACTACAAACGTTGGGACACCTTATAAACACCATTAAACCATTATTAAGCTCCCCCTCTTTGCGTATTCTCACTAATTAATCGTAATTGGCATATAGGAAAACCGAATAGCATGAACTATTTCAAGAAGAAGGGTTCCATATTTGGGCCTCCACAGTCGGCGAAAACCAATTCAAGTAGTGCAAAGCAAGTAGTGCCTACTAACATCGCCACTGCCACCTCAACTGGATGTTGCCAAGGGACGGATGGCTGCTCAAGTTCGGCGTCAGTTAACGTTGTTCCTATGAACCACCATCCAATGATCTCTAAATTAGAGCAGCAGGTATATGCTTGTTTTTTTTTTTTTTTTTTTGTTGTTTGGTGAACAGGTATATATGCTTGTCAAATACCGCCCAATATTCGTGTACCATATGTTTCTTTGGTCCCGCATAAAAGCTATTTGATAAGTGGCTGTTACACTAAATAAACAATAAGACGTAATAATGTGGATGTTAAATTAAAGAAAATTCACAATTACTATCAAACATGCGTATCTCTATGTTTGACAAAAAGAAAAGAAAAAAAAATCCCATCTCTATAACTTTTCCAGTGCTGAATTCTAAATGATTGGAATGTTGTTTTCGTCACTACATATTCAAATTTTCGTAGTGTGATGAACGTAGACGAGCTTTTTGGTGTTCACAATATAAAGTTGGAGAAAACAATTCGATTTTAACAAGGGTTTTTTGAACTTTAATCCTTCAAGAAGATTAAAATTTTAAAAAAAACCTGGTGTTAGATTAAATATTGATTTTAGTCCCTAATGTGTCCTGAATTCAAAATAATTAATGTGCATTTTATTTAATGTCTCCCATTAAATATTTAAATTTATTAATACACAAATTTTAATTTATTTTCTGACCAAAAAAGAGTTTTTTAATTTATTAATTTTATTTAACATTCTTCAAATTTGAAAGACTCAATTAATGTACCTAAATGTTAGTACCGAAATGTATGTACCTAAATATATGCACCGAAATGTTTTAATATTAAATTAATGTACCTAAATGTGTGTACCGAAATGTATGCACCGAAATGTTAGTACCGAAAATGTATTATATTGAATTAATGTACCTAAATGTTTGTATCGAAATGTATGTACCGAAATATGTATACCTAAATGTATGCACCGAAATGTATTATAATGAATTTAATATACCTAAATAAAGAAGATAAAGTACATCGAAATATATTGTATAACAAAAATTAGTTTATCTAAATGTTCACAACAAAATATATTACAATGAATGAAATGAAAATAAAAATTATAATGAAATAAAATTAATACATTAAAAATTAGAAAGAAAAAGATAAATAATTAAAAATCAAAATATAATTAATAAATGAGGCTATTAATGTATCAAGGGACTAAAATTAGATTTTGATCTTACTCATGGTTTTAATCAAAAAATCATCTTTGCCAAGGATTAAAATGAAGTTTTCTATTTTAACAAACACGTAGTTGTAGTACACAAGATTATGAAACCAAATACTTATTTTTGTTGAATTGAATTGTCATATTTTGGGTTTTGGCAAATTAAGGTGGCAGAGCTGGAAAAGAGAGTCCTAAATGAGACAGAGCTTCACATTATGCATAAGAAGATGATGGAAAGAACACAAGATTATCTTGGCCACTGCCTACAAGTAGCCCAAGATAATGGATTCTTGAACCTTATTCACAACTCCAAAGACATTGGCCCACAACCATGCCCTCCCCTCCTCCAATGTTGCCACTTCAAGTCCAAATGCCACCCCACAATTTCCAGCAACTCAACCACACCATTCTTCTGATCTAGCAGCTGTTACTGAGCAAGCCCAGCTAAATGGATGGTACATCCACCCAGGAGAGGTAGGTCTTCTGTGACCCAAATTTAAAATTTGTACATTATGTTTCGTATGGTTTAACATGCTATCTTGTCAGATTGTCAACGAAAATTGTTAATCAAGTAAACTTAGTATATGAATGTGTAATTTTGATATACAGTCTTGATCAATGTAACTTGCCAAATTTCCTAAAGCCTATGGTAACGTATCTACTCATGTATGGTGAAAATTGGATCAGATTGAGATTGACGAAAAAATAGGGCAGGGAAGTACGGCTCACATATACAAAGGAACATGGCATGGACTTGAAGTGGCAGTGAAATGCATGTACCCTGATTTCTTTGAAACTAACGACAATGGTGTCGCATTTTTCGCTCAAGAGCTTGACACCTTACGTAGGCAGCGACATCCATACATACTTCAGCTAATGGGTGCATGCCTCGATCCTCCTAACTATGCTTGGGTGGTGACGGAGTTCATGAGCACAACACTGAAGGAGTGGCTTCACGGCCCCGGAAATAGGCGAAAAGAGAGGATGATACCACTTCCTCCGCTCAAAGAGAGGGTCGCTAGGGCATTGGAGATTGCTCTAGCCATGCAGTATCTTCATGGACAAAGGCCTATGGTGATTCATCGTGATCTCAAGCCTAGCAACATATTTTTGGACGATGCTATGCATGTACGAGTTGCAGATTTTGGTCATGCTCGGTTCTTGAGTGATGAAGAGAAGGCACTCACCGGCGAAACGGGTGAGGATTTGTGTGTTAAGTGATTGATTTATTCATACATATATGTGTTAACTAAGTGATTTATGTCTTAATCTGTTCGTTAATTACCTTTAATTATTTGCAGGAACTTATGTGTACATGGCACCTGAGGTCATCCAATGCGAGCCTTATAACGAAAAATGCGACGTATACAGTTTTGGGATTTTATTGAATGAGCTTATAACTGGAGATTATCCTTATATTGAGAAGGATTATGGTCCCATTAAGGTAAGAAACAACCCACCTTATCTCAAGGAAATAAAAGGATATATAAAGTTGTACGGAGAGATTTTCTGGTGATGCATGACGCTAAATTTGCAATGCATTGACAATGATGTATCGCTTATGTGTGATTAATGCCGGTTAAATTTTTAACTAAAACATGACATGAACAATAAGTAATTGAAAATAATAATAATCGAATTAATCTTGTGGAAAATAATACTAATCGACTAGTGATTTTCACTGTAGATTGCAATGGAAGTTGTGGAGGAGAACCTAAGGCCAAAACTGGCTGATGATCGTGATGGGCAACTTGGGGAACTAATTGACCTAATTTGCCTTTCATGGAATGCAGATGCGTCAGTGAGACCATCCTTTGCCGCCATTACAAGCAGTTTGAAGGCTCTTCAAAACAGATTATTTTATTGATGTTTAACAACCATTTGCTTATGTTAATGTTAATCTAATCAGTTTGGATTTGTTAATCCAATCAGTTTGGACGTTCATTTAAGCAATTAGGATATTATTGATGTCTCGACCTTTTGTTACTTTGATCAAATATATCATAAAGTCAAAGTTATTGGGTTTCATACGTACGTAAGCAATGAGTTTAGGTTAACAAACTATAAAGTAATTAAATAAAAGATGATTAAGCGAGATCAGCTCTACATAATCGGTCGATGTACAGTGCAAAAATGCCCCACCTTCTCCAAAGAGAGAGAGAACCATTACTTCCAGAAGACCGTAGTTGAATAAATATATGATTAGTTTATAAATAAATAAACTCACAAAAGATTGATGTAATCAAGTTCGTATTGCATTTGTCTTAACTTTGCAATCAACCCTTAAAAGATAAAGTTGATGCACACAAAAGCGACGTTTTAATTGCAAATCATGCCTCACACGTCGTTATTAATCACACAAAACAAAACGATAAAGGTAAAAAGTTTGCATGTCGTTTCACTCCCTTCCTTTTAAAATATTGGCCTTTTGTCTTGTCGTTTCATGGATTGATCAAGGATTTATTATCCTACCTACCTTTTAAATTATGATAATGTTAAGAAAATTAAAATTAAATATTAAATATTGTGTCATAAAAAAAATTAAATACATTAATCAACATTTAAATAAGAATTCAATCTCTCATTTAGTTTATAAATTTAGGCTATTGTTATTAGTACTTCAAAATTCTCATTCTACATTCTAAACTTTCTATATTAAGAAATAAAAATACACTTATGAGAAGTGCATAATGAAAAATTTAAAATGCCAATAACACTTCCCTAAATTTAATGTATAAATTTAATTTTTCTATCATTACTCTTTGTATTATTATTCAAACTGCAATAATACAAGTTCCAAGATATCAAAACCATGACTGATTGCATATGGCTAGCAGACGTTTTTGGCCATTTCACTTTTGATGCCTCGAGTCATGTCGTCCACTCGCCTTTCTACGTATAAATATATAAGTGTACTTAAAACACAAAATGTTACAACTTCCGTAAACTTATTTTTAAAGGTAAATTACATTATTACATTTAGCATGATTGCGGTTCAGGCCATACAATAGCATGTTCTATACTTTCTTAATAATGACAAAAAACAACATTAAATTTACGAAATACTTATCTTATTCAGGATGTCATAAACGTTCACTCTGAATGAAACGTAGACTAATGTCATACAAACAATGTACAACAACAACTTTAATAGAAAATGTTAACCTTCTACATATAGCGAGAGATGAATAAATAATCTAAGTTGCATCAAACTAACGTACGTGCAAGAAATTCGAGCATTGAGCACCATGTAAAGCAAAAGGCTAATATGGTAGTATTTTTCAAGAAATGAAAACAACATAAAAGAAAGAAGAAAAAAACAAACAGAGAACATTGTTGAAATATCCCATTTCAACTAATTTCAACTTATATTGAGGTTTTTTGTAATAAAATCTCACACCTGATGAATTGTACAGTAATAATTAACAAGTTGCTGACAATACCTATGTTGTTTGACGTGTTTGATCTGTACTGATCTCTCACATGAGACCCAATGATTTTTTTTTTGTCAAACATATGTTTATTCAAAGAGAGAAAAAAAGAAAAGAAAAAGAGAATCCATGTTTATCGTTGGGCCAAAGGTGGGCGAAAGTAGCACTAGGACTACGAGTCTACGACTATGAATAATTAAAATGGACTGTACCTATCACCCAACATCAAAGATCTTTCCAAATACTTGGGCCCACTGTATTATTTTGGTGGGCCTCCCCACCATCCTCCTCCGATCTGAGGTCATTCATTTATCTGCATTAAACAGAGATTTGCATGTCAATTAATTCACGTAGATAAACCATAATAATTGTATTAATCGAATATTAATTAAGTAATGGAGATAATTAGCACAAAAAATGTAAAAACAAATAACATTCAACAACTTTCTCTCATTGACCACTGTTGCGTAATGGGATTGTATTGCTATTTGTTTCTTTGTGGTTGGCCACAGCACCTGAGCCTGCCTCTGTAGGGAGCATTTTTACTCACCATCATAAACTATGTTGTACGCTTCCATATATCTAATCATCTGTCACATGTTTTTTTTCACTTAAATTTGGTTATTTTAAAAACAAAAATTAAAAAGTTAACATTTAATATGAAAATTAACTACAATTAAATGAAATGACAAGAATCAAATAATCAGACATTTAGTGCGCATACACCATAATTACGACTAAAGCATAATTAACTCATAAACCCTACTTGTTCTTCATCCAAATTCCAGTTTTACCCTTGCTGACTTCATATTCATTACATCACATTACCATAATAATACAATGTCTTTACCAAACCATTTAATTCATTACATCACATCCGATGGTACATTCTACCAACCTTCTTCTTTTTTGACCCTAGCGATGTTATGAGATGACCATATAAAAACGTAAATCTAGATATAAAAATAACGCGGTTAATTACTCAATCTACAATTTTTTTGCCAAAGTCTTTCACAGTAGTTTAAAAGAGTATGATACTTTTATGTAGGAATCAGATATTTTGAATTTGATTTTTGCAACACTGCTGCTACATTAGTGTAAGTTTAATATATTAGTACCGTATTAATGAGTTATATATATTGAACTTACGATTCAATCAATTAATGTCACACTCAAATTTTCTAGCTCATTGTAAAAATGTAATTTCCATATGAATTCAATGTATCCAAGCAGCCCACTTATTTTTTTCCAACCTACTGTGGAAGATCTAAGATCATTATCTTATACCTTAATTTTCTGACATGTTTATTTATAAGGAAAATTAACGAAAAGTTCTAAAAAACTTTAGTTTTAATAAAAAAGACAAAATAAATATGTAAGTGAATAGTACCAGAAATGACTTTTTAAGGTAAAAATATCCTTAACATTAAAAATAAACAGTACCAGAAATGTTTCATTAAAATTTCCTTATTTATATCCAAGGAGCCCACGTGGTTAACAATATTAATATGCATTCTTAGGAACTTGCATTTCCTAAACATTTGAACCCTCTCTCGACCTTCTCTCATATCTTCTGTCCCTCTCTGACTTGTCTGCGCACCTTCTTTTACTCCCTTGCTCTTTCACTTTCACATTATTAATATTTATTTTATCACATACTATTGCAACTGCAAACCAATCTCTAATAAAATCACCATTATTCTTCTCCTTCTCAAGTATTTAAAGCATCAATCGCCGAAGTTTCAAACACCCAAGAACCCACAAGATCAAAATTTTTATATTTTCTTTTGGATTTGAATTTTTTGTTTTCAATCTAGTTAGCCACTTGCTTTGCACTACTGAATCAAAGAACTTGCTGGAATGATCTTCCATTTTTTTCCTTGGTGGGGTGCTGTCTCTGCTCTGTGAATAGCTCTGGTGTGGTGAGTCTGATTATTTACATATTAAGGTGAATAAGAGTAGTATTTCTTACTGTTTTAGACACTTTGTACTGATTGACTTGATCTTTTTGGCGCCAAGGTAACTTCTTTTCCAGTTACGTTAATAGAAGTAGATTACTTGTTGTAAAGTATTAATCTTTGGATAAAACGATGGAGATTGGATATATCTGCCAAAAGGGTTTGAAAAGTCAGAATTTTTAAATGTGATTTTGTTCTGGTGTACCATGGTTTCTTTATTTGGGGGTTTAGTGAAAGCTTTTTGTGATGTTTAATGTTGCAGCGTTTGATCAGAATTAGTTTATTATGGTGTTGTTAGAAAGCCATTGATATAAATCTTCAATATTTAATTAGGAAAATAAAGATTTGATTAATCCTGAAAGAAAAGAGGGAACTTGGGATTTATCTACCAAAAGCGTACGGAAAATTCGCATTTTTGAATGCCATTCCGATTTTGGTGTTTTGTTTAGTTGGGGTTTAATGCAAGATTTTTGTGAAGTTTGATGTGGTAGGGTTTCAATGAAGGCCATAGAGAGAGAAAAGCTTTTGAAAGGCGGGGAAGTAAGCATGTCGGAGAAGCTTTCTTCCAATGGAGGTGAAGTTGTACTGGAAGTTCGAAGCGAAGAGATCAATGCAGCAAAAGGATCTCCCTCAAAAGGCTCGGGATATTCAGCTCCCAAGCAAAGCAAAGTGGGCTCACCCGCCAAAGCATCGGCTGAGTCCAGCAGTGAGTTCTCTAAGTCGGTCCCAGTGAGCTCCCCTTCACCTGAATTTTCGAGAGCCAGTCCTGGTAAGCCTCCCAAGATTCCCACCCGCAATGAGAGTCTTGCTAGGAGAAAGTCACTAAATAGGTCAACTAACTCGAAACCCAAGTCAAGATTTGGTGAACCCTCAGTAGGCATTGATCACAATATGTTTGAAGAAGATCAAGTTGGGGCAAATTCCCCTTATAGGGGTTCATTCAATAGGCGTTCCCCAAATGATAAATCAGGTATCAGGAGTGTTTCAATCTCCGGGAGTGGGAGGATACCGCCGTCTCCAGGCAGGATCAAAGAGAAGGAGGATGAAGAGATTTACAAGAAGGTTAAATTGAGTAGAGATAACCATAGGAAAGTGAAAATGACAACTAAGGTCTTGCTTGAGTGGGGTACTTTTCTGGTACTTCTGGCTTGTTTAGTGTCTAGCTTGACTATCGAGAAAGTAAAGAATGGTATGTTTTGGGGCTTGGAAATTTGGAAGTGGTGTGTGCTTGTGATGGTGATATTCTGTGGAATGTTGGTTACAAACTGGTTTATGCATTTCATAGTTTTTGTGATTGAGAGGAACTTCTTGCTGAGGAAAAAGGTTTTGTATTTTGTTCATGGCATGAAAAAGAGCGTTCAGGTTTCGATTTGGTTGGCTCTGGTTCTTCTCACATGGCTATTGGTGTTCAATCGGGGGGTCGAGCGATCAAAGACTTACACCAAGATTTTGAATTATGTCACATGGACTCTTGTTTCCATTCTTGTTGGGGCATTTTTGTGGTTGTTAAAAACTTTGTTCCTTAAGATTTTAGCATCTAGTTTCCATGTGAACACCTTTTTTGATAGAATCCAAGAATC